TTATTTCTCTGTGGGATTCGACTCCGGACTTCTAGACTGGATTATATTTGCAGCGACCGCTTATCCTTTTTAGGACTAGAGTTGGACGTGATCAAATTTTGGCGTCGTTGCCGGGAACTAACGGTGTAGTTGTAGCTGTATATATTGCTAGGTTTCGAGTTTGAACTTTTATTTTGTTTTGTTTTGTTTTTTTTGTATTTTTATTTTTATTTTATTATAACTGATGATTTGAGAAACATGACATCTTAGAATTATGGAAATTTAGGTGTAGATAGTTCTACTATTGATCCTCATACATATTGTGAGGAAACCACCCGTATAAAAATTATCAAAATATTCCTGAGAGCGAGTTATGTGCACAAACTCAATCTTATTTGTGGAATGTGTGTGATGTGTGTGGTGGTAAAAATTGTCACTTTTATGGTTGTGCTTATATTTTTTATCTTCCCCCAACCCCTTACTATGATGGTTTTACCTTTTCTTGTGAAGTTAATAGGAACAAAGAACCCGGAGATGCAGACCTGAAGGAGATCAAGGATATCTTAAAGTGCCTTCTGAAACAAAATAATGAAAAACAATTGCAGATAGAAAGGCAAGAGGCAACTATTCGCAAGTTGGAGGCTCAATTGAGTCAAGTGGTTGGAGCTTTTAATGCTCAACAAGCCAATATTGAGGATAGTAGCCAAGAAGAGCATGAATTTGAGGTGTTAATTGGGGAGGTCAGAGTAGAACATCAACAACCTAGCCAACTATAATTTGAGGATGTCAATGTTGAAGAAGTGAGACTAGAGCCAGCCAAGGATTTTGAGGATATAAATTTTATTGACTCTAGTATCATTGATGTTGAGGATGTTGAAAGTCCTAAAGTTCATGTGTTTGAGCGCATTGGTCCACACTCCAGGCATTTTTCCACATTATGTTTGGATGATGATATGGAAATAGAGTCATCCGAACCAATTGAATAGTCAAGGAATGAGGAACAAGATGCATATATTCTGGAATTCTTCTTTCCAGAAACTCAGGATTACATACCTCATATAAAGGCCAAGGAGTGCAGGATACTACATTATTTCCTTGGGCCAGTAGATTCTTTCCACCGCCCCATGACCATAATCATAAGCTTGAATCAGAACTTGGGGTTCAATTCATAAGCTCGAGGTGTAGGCAAAGTGATTCACGTCGTGCCGCGACGTTAAATCAAGCGCTTGTTGGGAGGCAACCCAGCTTTATTTTTTATTTTTAATTTAGTTTTTTTATTTATTTTATTATTATATTATTTTTGTAGTGTCAATTTTTGATTTCTAGGAGCATGGAAATCAAAGCGATTGGAAGGATGCAACAGCAAACCATTAGTTGGAACTAAGTGTGAGGTACCCGCACGAAGGACCAGGCCTGGGAGAAGTCTAAGTACCCCATGAGATGCTAGTGCTTCGGCCTTTGGCCTACCAGGGAGTTTCTTTTACCCTCTTGTATGTATGGGTGTGCATTGGGGACAATGCACAATTTTAAGTGTGGCGTGAGAAGATTGTCTGGGTGGCTTTCTATGCTTTTTTAGTTGTGTTAGTTTAATTGAATAATTTTTTCTTCAAATAGAAAAGATTGGACTTTTTCCGACGATGGATCTATTAGACAATTTTCTTGAGGGATTTAAGTCTAAAGAAAAAATAAAATAAAAAGATTTTCTTTTGTTAGGTAGTATAGCAATTCCCCCTTGGTTTTTCTTTGTGCCGCGGTTCTTTTCAAAGGATTTTATTTGAACCGGGTGTAGTTAGTTTTTTCAGGAATAGGAGCCATTGTGTTGTGTTTTGAATTGAAGCAATATCTCTTGACTTTGTTATGCCTTGAGAATAGTGAGTACTTTGGTTGTGACGCTTAGGCTCAGTTTTTGACTCTTGTATAAGTACCTTAAATTGTATGATCTTAACTTTGCTTAACTGCTTTGACTAGAGTGTCTTGATGAACCCGATCCTGAGTGAGTTATGTGCCATGTGTGTGTGAGGCTTGGATGCTATTATGTGCATTGCAGTTGATGCCTAGAACTTGCCCCGTGTGTTTGCAAAGCGAAATAGTAGTTTTGTTCGGTCTTGGAAGTGATATAGGCATTTCTTTGTTGAGCCGGATATGTATATTTTACCCACCTAATTGTTATGTATCGTAGTTAACCCCTTTGAGCATGTAATCTTGTTTCTTTGGCAACCACATTACAAGCCTTACCCATTTGTTTGAATTAACCATCTATTTGAACCATTGTAACCTCTCATGAGCACTTGAATTATTTATGAACTTTGTAAAAGTTAAATTGTGGGGTGGTTGGTTTGACTTTTGAGTGGAACTAATGAAATAAGGAGAAAGGTGCACTGTTTTGAACAAGTAAGAGCCACTTGAATTGAAAAAAAAAATAGTTGTATTGCTGTAAAAAAAAAAAGTATTCCTTGATAAATGGTGACTCTTGATGTAATTGTGCTTAAAGAGGTATGGAGTAATATACGTTGATGTGAAGGTGGAGTTTGGTTTGACATAAGTATGGGGTTTGAATGTTAAAGTATATGTATTAAAGTGCTTAGGGAAGTGTAGTCACTCTTATATCTAAATGTATCATACCCGTCCCGTAGCCTACATTACAACCAATTAAAGTCCTAATTGATCCTAGATTGAATGAGCTCGATTAGTGTAGTAGTACACTACGGGCAAGCTTATGGTGCATCTTTTCTGGCATATGAATGTTATTTCTGAGAGTGAGAGAATTCTTTCTATCTTGAGTTCCTAAGTGTTCTTAAATTTTATTGTGTGGAACTACTCTCTTTTGTTGTGTGAGGGTACTTGATTCATGAAGGAAAGGTAATGTCAGTGATCTCTATGTTAGAGTAAGTAGGTGAGTTGTGAATAATGCGCGGTACTTGTGAGTCAAATCTTGAGGTGAAGATGTTACGCTTTTGTGCTTAGTCTATTTTAAATACTTTTGGTGTGATGAGTTAGGAGAATTGTTTAAAAAGGTCGTGTCCATAAAAAAGTGTAATTTGATTGCTCGAGGACGAGCAATGGTTTAAGTGCGGGGTTTTGATGATAGGATATAATTACGTATTTTAATCGCTTATTACACTCAAATTTACTGCACTTTAATTGAGTTTGAGCTTTAATCGTTAGTGTCTTGCACTAATTGTGTGTCTTATGCCTTGTAGGGGTGATTCCGCGCTATGTAGATGTTATGAAATTAATTCAAGTAATTTGGAGCTTTGAAGTCTGAGTAAAAGCCCAAGGAATTAAGCCGGGATCGTATTCGGGGATTAACGGATGATAGAGCAACAAAACGAAGAATTGAGTAGGTATATTGCGCACTATCTAGTAAAATATACATAACTTTTCGCTCCGAACTCCATTTGGACTTCATAATATATGGTTGGAAAGATAACTCAATGGGATACAACTTTCATGTTTTATATTTTTCTAAATTCCAAACGGAATAGGGTAAAAAATGCGGTCGAAACCGCAACCGCGGACCTGACGCGGACTGAGGCAGTACACTAGGAAAGTATCGCGCCCGTACCGCGCCCGGACCGCGGCCGCGGACGTCCAGGCCTAGAAACTTGTCCTTTTTTGCGTAGGAGAAGGTATAATTGTTTGGGCCCGACCCTACTTGGTATATATACATGGAAAAACGGTATTTTGGAAAAAGGAGACCAATTTTTAACACAGATTCGACCTACGGAGGCAGAGACACAATAGGTGCAAGGCGGGGAATTCTTCCACGAGTTTTTCCTTCCTCTTCCTATTTTTTCATTGTTGGTTATGACTTTTAGTATTGTAGTTTTACATACTATTATGAATAGCTAATTTGTTATCTAGGGTTTTGATAGAACCTTTTGTAGGATAAATTCTTGTTATGTTTTTATTTAATTGAGCTGTTGGATTTCTCTACTTGTTCAACTACGTGTTTATTGTTGTTGATTGAATGGTCATCGATTGACTGTGCCTATTTATTATGTGTTGCTTGAGAAAGAATACATATTTAGGTGGTTGTTGAACAATGTCACTCCTAACGTATGTGAGAAGTCAATACAGTGGGTTTAGAGGCAGGTTTAGAAATAACAAAGTCTTGACGTGGTCATAAGCGGTTAGATAAAGCCAACTAGCGTAGTTCGAGAGAATATGTCTAGTAAATTATTGTAGTTGCTCGAGAGAGAATTACAGCACCTAAAGTACTTACGATCAGTAGAGAATACATTGGCGAAATTGTAGGGAACATAGCTAGAAGGATTCCGACAATTGGGAAAATCATAACTCTAGACCTCCTTAATTTAGTCTCCAACCCTTTGTCTCGTTAGTTGATAATTTTACCGCTTTGTAGTATTTGCTAGTTAATTAGTTAGAAATATAAATCTCAATCTTTATAATTTAGAAAATTGTTCAATCTTGTCTTCTTAGTGATATTAAACAGATACAGCTAAGCCTTAGTTCTCTGTGGGATTCGACTCCGGACTTTTAGACAGGATTATATTTGCAGCGACCGCTTATCCTTTTTAGGACTAGAGTTGGGCGTGATCATACCTCAACAATCTTAAAGAATTCTAGCGATATAAATATAACATCCTCGTTACATGCATAAATCCTGTAAAATTCTTTACGCTATCAGTACAATTTAACTAGTTATGTATAGCAATGTACTTACCAACTTTTTATATTATCAATCAATGCTTATTACAATGAGTTATTGGTAACTATTTTAAAATGATCTCATTGCGTGAAAATTTAAACTATTTTTACACAATCAGTGAGCAAAAGTTATATAACATAATTAGACCAACTACATTCAAAACGACAATCGCATTCCTATGATAGTCCTTTTTACGTTTGTTCAACCTAGCTAGGCGTATTTCGTCCATTATATTCCTAAAAGCCACCATGAACAGAAAACGTAAACGTAAAAGATGAAACACCCATACCATGCGAAATACATGAACAAAAACAAATACTTGAATAATGTTTTAATGCGAAAAAAAGTTGATGATTGAACAGACATCTCAGAGAAAAACTCAACTTTAGCAATGAGAAATGCTTACTTGAACTTTGTGCTTTTTTTCACCTTATGTTGGCTCACAAATGCAAGTGTTGAACTGCACAAGAAGAAGAATCATGGCTCAAATCCTATGCTGAAGAGGTACCAAGATTGGCTACAACGACACAGTCGAAAATATGGAAGTAAAGATGAATGGAATATGCGATTTGGGATTTATCAATCCAATGTTCAATTTATCGACTTCTTCAATTCCCTCAACCTTTCTTACAACCTCACTGACAATGCTTTTGCAGACATGACAAACCTCGAGTTTAAATCTAAGTATTTAGGTTATAAGAAACATAAACATTCAAAGCAATTAGCAGCACCAAATATCACGTGTGACAGATCTAGTTTGCCTATCAGTGTCGACTGGAGAAAGAGTGGAGTTGTTACACGGGTCAAGGATCAAAAAAATTGTGGTATGTTACAAACCTTTAATTTCTCTTCTTCTTTTTACCAACTCTTTGTTCTAGTTTAGAATATGAGCCAAGCTACGGTGTTGGTTGCCGGTACGAGTGAACCCAGTAGCTTTTGTTTAAACTCTGTATTTGTATTAAGAAATTCAATGAATATGTACAAATTATTAATTTAGAACTCAGTAACTTAAAAGGAGTATAATTCCGAACCTATTAGGTTCAAATCCTAACTCTGCCTTTGATTATTCTCACATAAGATAATACAAGATTATTTCATATTAAATGTTTAAGTTAAATTCTACACATTGACGATATCAAAAATATCACTACGTACAATTAGGTCACTTACAAGATCATTACATTAGGTGCCACCCAAGATATCAAAGGCCCCAATTTTTGCTACTATTAGATATAATAAAATATGTAATACATACAATTATAGTTTTAAATTGTACTCTTTTTTCTTCTTTTTTTTTTTGAAATTTGATTGAGGTTATTCGAATGAGAGAACAAATTATACTAAGTTTTATCTCTCACTACTTAGAGGGTGTTTGGATTGGCTTTTAAGCTGGTTAAATCAGCTTTTAAGCCTTTTTTAGTTTTTTCAGTGTTTGGCAAAGTTCAAAAATTCTTAAAATAAGTAAAAAAAAAAAAAAACAACTGCTTAACAAGCCAAATGCAATAAGCTGGGCAACCCCAACTTTTCTTATTACTTTTTGGCTTAAAAAACTATTTTTGTTGAAAACCCACTTATTTTAAGCCAATTCAAACAGGCTCTTAATACGTCCCTATTGATTTTTTTTATTTTTCCTTCTCTGCACATATTCTTTTTTTTTTTGTTTCCAAAAAAAAATTCCCAAACAAGCTATATATGAATGAATTGCAAATAAATATATGAACTATAAATTAATACATACGATTTCCACGATTTTATTTTGCACTTCAAAAAACTAAAAGAATGAACTATAAATAAAAATACATATGAATTGAATAAGTTAAGGCCACTTGTTGAAATTTAGCTTTAGCCCACCAATATTGTTGGGGCGTCCGTAGTGAATCATAAGGTAATTACGGGCAAATGTTTATAATAAATAGTATCAATTAGTAACGTAATAAAAATAATAATTAATGTGCTCTAATCAGTTAATCCTGTAAAAAAATGATGTTGTCAATATAGATAAGTTAAGTCCATGTTTCCGAGTGCAGGAAGCTGTTGGGCATTCTCTGCAGTAGCAGCAGTTGAAGGCATAAACAAGATTAAAACAGGGAAATTAGTGTCACTATCAGAACAACAACTAGTGGACTGTGATGTTTACTCAGACAACCAAGGATGTAACGGAGGATTCATGGAAAACGCTTTTGCTTTCATTAAGAAAAACGGTGGCATTACAACTGAAATAAATTATCCTTACGCAGGGAAAGACCAGAAATGCAACACTACCAAAGCAAAACAACATGCAGTTACAATAAGTGGCTATGAAATGGTAGCCAAAAATGAGGAATCTCTTCAAGCTGCAGTTACCAAACAACCTATATCAGTGGCCATTGATGCAAGTGGCTATGATTTTCAGCTTTACGCTGGTGGGGTTTACTCTGGTTTTTGCGGAAATAGCCTAAATCATGGAGTGACACTAATTGGCTATGGTGTAGATGATGGTGAGAAATATTGGCTAGTTAAGAATTCATGGGGTACTATGTGGGGTGAAGATGGTTATATCAAAATTAAGAGGGGGTCAAATGACAAAAAAGGAATGTGTGGTATTGCTATGCAAGCTAGCTACCCTCTTAAGGAGGAGGAGGAGTCTTGAACCATTAATTTGCAAAAGAAGCCACATGCCCGTATAAATTAGGCCATATCAGTAATAGCTCTATTGTGGTTACATTTATTTCTTTCAATAAAAGATATGATAACTGCTATTCACTTGTGAGGTTTACAATAGAGAAACTAGTATCAGGACATGAACGGTTGTATTTAATTAAGAATCAAAATTGATTAATGAAAAATCTATGACCAATATAAGAAATCCAACTTTCTTCTTTTTTCTATTTTTTTTTCTTTGCTCTCATTTGAGATTCCTGAACAGAGCCGTGATGTGGGTACCGAATGGGAAATCAAAATTATTATTAGAAAAAAATATATCTCTGCTTTTTCTTTGTTTCACCTTTAAACGTGCACCATCAGTATTAATCATCTTATTCACACCCTTAGGTTTAACTATTAAAAGTTGAGGATTCCGTTAGTGTTGGACCTAATAAACCACCATAAGGAGATCTTTCACCAAATAACAATATAGCATGAGATGATTTTAAAAGAAAATAATACAAAAAAAGAAATGTTATAAATAGAATTTTATTTATGGTGAATGTCTATATTTAGAGAGATTCTAGGGTTTATTACTTGGTGGCTAAGTCACTCACTCCCTATAAATAGAGGGTTCTATTCCATTATAATTCATCCCAAAATTCAATAAGAATTCCCTCTCTCTCTTTCTCTGCAATATTGTTCTTCTGCTTTTATTGTTTTATAACACGTTATCAGCACGAGACTCTAACCAATTGAGTAGAAGTTTTGGGATTGAGCATAATGATTGTCAATTATTCCATGAACTTCCTTCATGATTAAATTCTGGATTTAAGGTAAGTCTTTTACCGTATTTTTCTCTTTTATTCTATACTTTGATTTTAAATACAAGCAAAGACAACAAAGTTTGATTATAAATCTAATGGAGTTTGTAAGAAATTATAACCACCTGAAGTGGTAAAATTTCNATTGTCTAATTATTTTATGAACTTTCCTTTATTTTTAAATTCTGGATTTCAGGTATGTATTTTACTTTATTTTCTCTTTTAAATTCTTGAAATTCTATAATTTGATTTTATATACAAGCAAAGACAACAAAGTTTGATTATAACTCTAATGGAGTTTGTAAGAAATTATAACCACCTGAAGTGGTAAAAATTTCTATGTCTTGCTATGATCAAATTCATGTATGATTATGGGCACAAGAATTGAAAACCCGTCCCATTGAATTTGCTCCATTCTCATTCCCTTAAGAGAATGTGATAGCAGTATGTGATAAGTCTGAAAGAAGACAAAATTATTACTATGAATGTATCAATGGATATGGACGTGGCAATAGACGAAATTATAATCGTCATCATTTGTGGTAATGAGAACAATAAGGATTCTCAAAATAATCTTTCACTCTGTGAAAAATATTTGTCATCGATTTGACATGAGATTTTGTAAAGCACATATAGATGATTATGGTCCATTCATGATGTGAATGTGACAACATCTGATTTATGAATACATATTCATTCTTCAAAGAATATGAACGTGCTAGTGGTAGTGAATATACCGCACTCACCTCTAAAAGGAGGTTTGAGATGATATAAGAAAATAATGTCATTATTATGGCATGAATGGTCATTGGTCACGTACTTATTGTACGCCAAAATATTTTGGCATTGTGATTATTAAAAGACAGCGATAATGCAAGAAACAGAAGTTGCATATAATTTTGACCATAACAATAATGGTATAACTTTCTCTTTAAAAGAGATATTCACCATATTGATGTTGATGAATATGTGGTAGTACCAAATTAATTGAGAGCTCTGGAAGAGCCAATTATTACTATTTTGGAGAAACACAATTGATTACCAATAAGGTATTGTGTTGTAGTAAGTCTCAAAGAAACTTATTGAGTTTCCAAAGTATATACGCGAAAGCAGATTGATTATATTGAGACTATAAATAAATGAAAGATTTAATATCTTCTATTACTACAACTTGTAGCGGGATAATATGTATGTGAAAAGCTACCCGCTTTATTCTCCAGGTACTACACAAATAAAAGAATACCATACTAAAGTGAAGTGGATGTTATTGATATAAAAACTCATATCATAATAAACTTGGAGTTTATTGATAATTGCACACGTCATGGTGTAAATCTGAAGTTTATCAATATTGATAATTTATTCATTTGGCATAATTGGTTTAGCCATATCAATTTGAGTATGATGTGCAAAAATAATAGAGAATTCACATGGGTAAATATTAAAGAACTAGAAAGTTCTTTACGAATTCTCTTATATTGCTTGTTCTCATTAATGAATAGATCAATTAAAATTGGGATTGAATCCCATGAATGCTGGAAATATCAAAGGTGAATATGGGCCCATTCACCTGCCATGTATACCACATAAGATGCATCTATGAGATGGTTACATGTGCGATTATTATTAACCCGCAACCTGGCCGGTGTTTGCGAGGTAACTTGCTCACTAATTTAATTTCGAGCATAATTTCCAGATTTGCTATTCAAGAAGTTCATCTTGATAAGTTGGTTTAAATCACAGTTGGTTTAGCAAAATGATTTATTAAGTGCCTCTACTTAATAGCTAAACAAGTGCTTATGAGAACAAAGTTATCTATATCAGTTTGATATAGGTTATATACGAAAGTATATTACATTCTCCCCTCACAAGTGGTTCAGGGTCAGGAACCAAATAATTACATCTTATTATAATTGATGTGCGGTGTATATTTTGACTAACATCATAACGCACAAAGATGGGTTCTCAAAGTTGAGGAAACAAGTTAGTTTTTCTAACATGAGGGAGAGACATGATAAACAGTTGAGAAAAAGTTACGTGGAATGAATTATCATTTGTACATCTAGATCCTCGAATAAAATAATATGAACTCGAAGTTCATAAAAGGATAATTCATGTGCAATTTATTGCAAAGCATGCCAGACGCATTTGCTGACCCAAAGAAAGTAACTATATTCTCATTGCAAATGCTCTTATTAAGTCCTAGAAGGACAACGTCTATGGTACGCTTAAAGCATATAGACAAATCGGTTTCAAATAAACTTCTTAATATAGAAGATGAGCAAATGATCAAAATGATCATAATAAGGAGGCAAGTGATCTAGAAGATCACATGACATAACACTTCATAAAATCTCAGGAGAGATTCAGGTACCTGAAATATGAATGAAGAGATCTCTATGTCATGTCTTTATGAAAAATAAGGAGGTTGGAACCGATATAAAATGTTTGTCGACGACATCTATGATAACGCTAAATATATATATGAGGATCTTAAGTCTGAAGAAACAATTCGAATAGGATTGGTTTCATATGAAAGACATGTAGTTTTGAACATGTAGTTCAAACACTTGAAAGTATAAAGTCAATGGTATGTGCAATCAGTTTTCGATATCTTATATGTCTAGCATGACATGAAAACTTGATATGCATCTAAAGTTTATTATATGGCTTATATGACTTAACAATCCCTGAAGGATTTAAATTGCTTAAAGCATATAGAATTCATGGTCATGAAGTACTACATCCTCGGTGCAATTTGTGCACAAATATATCTTGCTATAATTATATGCATGATAATATGATAGCAAGAGTTTTCACCTCTATGTGAAGATATTGAAATGATGATTCCAACAAGATCATATGAAGACAATACATCTATCAGGGATGATGATTTCAAGGTGAAACAAATTCGTTGAAGTTAATATGGCTGATATTGTTTATCAAATATCTACCAAAGATCTTTTGAAGATGGTGCACAAGATTGAAATGCAAATGCTTAAAGATGTGAATTGCTGCTCTCATCAGGGGGAGTTAATACGCGTTGTACTCTTTTTCCCTCACAAGGTTTTGTCCCACTGGGTTTTCCTTGCAAGGTTTTTAACGAGGCAACCAAAAGGCGTATTGTTAGATATGTGTACTCTTTTTCCTTCTCTAGAATTTTTTTCCCACTGGGTTTTATTTTAGGTAAGGTTTTAACGAGGCACATTATCTGTTGAATAGACATTCAAGGGGGAGTGTTATAAATAGAATTTTATTTATGGTGAATGTCTATATTTAGAGAGTTTCTAGGGTTTATTACTTGGTGGCTAAGTCATTCACTCCCTATAAATAGAGGGTTCTATTCCATTGTAATTCATCCCAAAATTCAATAAGAATTCCCTCTCTCTCTCTCTGCAATATTGTTATTCTGCTTTTATTGTTTTATAACAAGAAAGAAGTTAATCCTCTCGTTATTTATAATAGCTCTTTCAAACTCTTATTTTCTATCAGCCCATTTTTAATTTCTCTTGAGATTCTTTTATTGACTACCTAAATTCCAAAATCTATATGTTATGGTCGTTTAGGAAAAATAATGAAATTGCTGTGTTCAAACGGCCAAAGATAGTCGTAACATGATGTGATATTGTCCGTTTCGGATTAAGCCCGCACGATTTTTTCGAAAAGGTCTCACACCATTAAGAAATCATTATACACCTTATATCTAGGCACTCTATCTTTCACTACAAGAAAGTGGAGATATGACGACATTTAAAAAATATCGTATTATGCTGTTTAAATGTCACAAATTTATTTACCAACATTAAATTTACATTTGCATCAAATATCGTTAATTTCAATGTCGGTAATTTTCCGACATTTAGGTAAATGTCGGTAAGAAATTATGATACTTACTTTACGACATTTAGGTAAATGTCAATAAGGAATTATGACACTTATTTTACGATATTTAGGTAAATGTCGATAAGAAATTTGCGACACTTACTTTGCAACATTTAGGTAAATGTCAATAAGAAATTTATGACATTTAATTTACGATATTTAGGGAAATATCGGTAAGAATGTTATGACATTTGGTTTACAACATATAGGAAATGTCACTTAAAATTTTCGACAATTAGGTTAATGTTACTAAAAAAAATATGACATTTACGTATGATCTTCACAAAATGTCATATTGAAATATACGACATTTTGTTAAATGTCACTAAGAAAATTCATAACATATACAAAATATTGTTTTCACTTTATGTGAGTATCATTAAAAAAAATTAGTGACATCTTTTACAACATAACAAAATGTCGAATTAAATATTTTGACATTTAAATTAATGTGGCTATCATATGTTTTAGAATGTAAATAATAATGTTCTATTTAGTTTCATCATGAACACATTTACATTCACAAATGTCA